GTCACTTCTTCCTCTCCAAGAGGTCGCCCTGGATCCGCCCCTGCTTTTGGCTGTCAAAACGCCGGAAATCTGAGAATATCATGTTTGACACAAAAAGCACACACACCTCGTTTGTAGGTAATCTTTTCCAAGCATTCGTTAAAGCAGTAAAAAAATATTTCAACAGCAGCACTCGCTGATCTTCATCAGCAAGTGCTAATGCACGTGTGAACATTTGCCGTCCCTTGTTGATGAGCAAAACTGTTTGAAGGCGATCACTGGAGCAAAGACTATCAATCACTGCTTTCAACCGACTTTGAATACCATCCCTCAATTCGTTTCTAGAAAAACCAAAAAAATCAATAGACATAAATATATTTGCATTTATCAACAGTGATGTTGCCTGATGGATGATCAAGTTACTAAAAAAATCAAATACTTATACCCCCGTCCCCGCTCCCCCCCTCCTCTCTCCCACTCTTCTTCCCTAGCAATTTCCCTCTATAAGAAAGTGAAAGCACATAGAAGCCTGGGCGATAGTACGCGCTAGTAGCAGTCACCATCTAGCAGGGCTCTTCCTAGAGTAGCTTAAAAGCAAGCTGATGGCAGTTTTGACTTTCTAGAATGTGTCAGACTTTCTAGAATGTTTCCAGTGAAACCTTCATCTAAATTATCCACGTTACCACAGTCGTCGTACTGACGAGATCCAACTGTGGTAACGGTAAGAAATGTATACGACTTAATGGCCCGAAACATTTTTTATAAATTACAAATATTTGAATACTCCCCTTCCCTCTTTTCACTTCGTTCTCCTTCTCTTCTTTTCCTTTCCCCTCATTTTCTACCTTACTTTTAAATTACAAAGCTTAGCTGTTCCACTGGGAGGTTCGAACCCTTTATCTTCCACCTGGAAACAAATACCAAAAAAAAAAAAAAATCCCCTCATTTATTCTCATTGTCAAGAAATCTAGCTTTCACTAGGGCTTAATCCCCAGCGTTACGCTTGTCAACAAAAATACATCTATTCTATATGAATCAAAACGTTATATCCACTACTTT